GAGCTAGTCGATTCAACAGTTCTTTGAAGTGTTCTACCCACCTGTTTCGTTGTTCTTCAATATTGGTGATTACCTCGCCTTCCTTGCCTTTCACTGGTCGTTCTGGTTTGTGGCGATTTCCAGAGAGTTTCTTTGTCGTATCATACAATTGTCTCATGTTTTCTTCTCTTGCAGCCTTTTCCGCCGTCGTTGCTAAATCTTCCACATATTTACGTTTGTCAGTTCTGATGCTCCTCTTCACTTGTTTGTTTATTTCCGTGTATTCAGCTTGTGCCTTGGCTTTTTCTGCTCTTGTTCGACTGGTATTGATTGCTGCCTTCTTGTTCCTCCTTTCTTGAATCTTATCCAGTGTATCAACAGTGATCCATTCCTTGTGTTGGTGCTTCTTGTGACTCTTTGATTACGTTCCAGTTGCTTTCCACAGTAGTTCCTTCTCCATTGAGTAGATCATGAAAAGCCTGGAACTTGTTGCTGAGGACTATCTCAAATTCGTTGAGTTTGTTAGTATCCTGGAGAAAGGCCGTATTGAACTTTTGTGATACTGTCTGCCCCGTTGTCCAGTGCTTCTTGAGTTTCAATTTCATCTTGGCGACCAGTAAGTGATGATCTGATGCTATATCAGCTCCTCTCTTGGTTCTCACGTCCTCTATAGTCCTCCTGAACGTTTTGTTGATGCAAATATGGTCGATTTGGTTTTGTGTAGAGTGATCCGGTGAAGTCCATGTGGCTTTGTGAATGCACTTATGTGGGAATATGGTGCCGCCTATGACCAGTTTATTGAAGGCACATGGGTTTGCAAATCTCTCACCATTTTCGTTTCTTTCTCCCAGTCCGTGTCGTCCCATGATGTCTTCATATCCAGTGTTGTCCGTTCCAACCTTGGCATTGAAATCTCCCATCACAATGGTCAGGTCCTTTGTTGGGCACTTCTCGACTATTGACTGCAGTCTATTGTAGAATTGATGTTTAGAGTCTTCATTGTAGTCGTTGGTAGGCGCATAGCATTGGATGATGTTCATTGAAATACCCTCTTTCTTTGTTTTGAACAAGGCTTTGATGATCCTTGGTCCATGAGATTCCCATCCTATAAGTGCGTTTTGTGCTTGTTTGGACAGCATCAATGCAACTCCTTGTGTATGTGAAGCGTTTTCTTCTTCATGGTCAGAGTATAACAGGCGCTCTCCTGAAGTTAGTCGTTGTCCAACTTGCGTCCAATGTGTCTCACTGATCCCAAGCACCTCTAGGTTGTAACTCCTCATTTCTGCAGCGATTTGGAAGGCCCTCCCGGTGTCCCACATTGTACGAACATTCCATGTACCTAAATAAATGGTCGCTCTGGTTGTCAGAAAATAACTCTGCGGTAATACAGCAGAAACAATTTCAGGTGTCTCAGTCTTTCTTCAAAGAACAGGCCAGAGAAACCCTTTACCATGTTAGCACACCGTTGTTTCTCTCGTCCTATCATATCTGCCTCACAATTGAAACAAGGACTGGTTGCTTGAATCTCATATTACAAATGAGGAATGACGAAATTCGGGTACAATACCCTGAACATTTCTTCGTCCAAGATCTAAAAATACTTAAAAATAGCACATAAGATACAGAAGCCTTTTGCAGAAATGGCCCTACAGTTACTTATAGTTTTGAAGTTACTACTTTTTATGACTCCTAGATCCTAATAGTTCATTAATTAAGGTAATACGACTCCACATATTGTGTAGTTTTATGAACCGTCATAGTTATTTTTAATTACATTACCGCACTCTTGTTAGAATTTAGTTCTACTGACCACCTATCTGTTAATGCAGCCATTGAATTTAGATCATCCTGTAATATTATAGAACCCAAACTACGGTTTGGATGTTGAAGAATAGCCGACCGGGGACTTTAGACACGCGCCCTTTCCCGTCGAAATCAAAACAAGTAATCGGGTAAATAGCGGTTCTATAATTCATCATAAATTTAAATGTAAATCGTTACCTAAACAAATATTACCACCCGGCTATTCAACCAATGATTGTTCAATCAATCAAATCTAAATTACAATAAATAAAGAAGTTGATAGAAGATGAGGAAAAATTACCAGTCACAACAAATGAACGTTATTCTATCCTGACTGGATAGATCACACACAACAGGAGGAACAAATCAATATGGCTACCACCAAGAACAAGTGTCAAGTAAAACAACACAGATGCAGTTCAGGAAGAAACACAAACTTAGTGAATGCGTAATAAAAACAAAACTATAATAAAAAATACAAGTATTAACAATTCAAATGTAACCAAAATACAACAATGTACAACTAAGGGGATCAATAGGAACAAAGTACAAGTATATACATGGAGGGATTTTCACCAACACACAAAACATTCAAAATGGATATTACAATATTGTTCTATTTGACATCCTCTTCAGAGGTCACCGACTTTTCAGTGTCATCGGCAAAGAGTAGAACGGATGACTGCTACAGTTGGTAATATACTTACGTAGAGTAAGGAAAGAAGAGGACCAAGGTTTATATCTTAAGAAACTCCACTTTTTACAGATTCCGCCGCTGAGAGAGCTCCATTTATCCTTATCCACTGTTTCCCATCATTGAGAAAGCCGCTTATTCAGTCTATGGTTTCATAATGGATTTCAAAACTTTCCAGTTTTCATTTAAGACCCGAATGAAAAACCTTGTCAAATTTCTTACTCAGTTTTATGAAAGCCACATCCACAGCATTATTTATATCTTTTGCTGAAGCTCAATCTCTTCCAATTAGCGAATTTGTCAGGCATGATGGGTTTTTATTAAAAACCATATTGTTCCCTGGATAGTGGCCTATGCTCTTCAAATATAATTCGAAATCGCCATCCGAATAACCTTTTTCATTAGTGTGACAACCACAGTGGTTAGACTAATGCATCGATAGTTATGAAGTAAGTTTCTTCTCCCCGCTTTATACACTAGAGTAGTTATTACGTCTTTTCAGTCTAAGAAGTCTGGATTGCCACAAAGACATATAAAAGAGTATGGATATAGGTCCACCAATTACATCCGGTAGGGCTCTCATAATCTTAGGATGAATCTAGACAGGAACATTGTGCCTACTTGAAGGAATTTGAAGACAGTTCCCTTGTCAATAACTACAATATCCATCGAGGAGCCGCCTAGGTCACGATTAATGGTAGAAAACGCTTTACTAAAATATCATGTTAAAGCTTCAAGCTTTCCGGTATGATCTCTTGCCAATATCAACGTATTTTCTGTTACCAAAAGTTGTGGATTCCTTTGTTTCTCTGGGCTGGCCTCTTTATGTATGAGACTAACCTTTTTGGTCCATTTTTTACCTCCTTAACTGTTTTTCATATGAATATCTTGTCTTACTTATCATCGGCTTACGAAAATTCCTAAACTTACAATGACTGAACCTATACTGTTCCAAGACTTTAAAAATGAACATATTTAATCGTTTTTCTTGCATCTAAGAAGTTGCTTGACTTGCTTTGTTATCCATAGTGGACAGACATTTTGTTTACGTGGTACTAAGCATGGTATAAACAAGGACGTAACTGGAATAAATCAACCTGTAAATATGGACCATGCTGTTTCAACTGATGAGCTAGTATCTAATGACTAGCCCTTTTTGTGGCTCACTCCTGAATGACTGATGTGTCTTCTCTCCATACATTCGGGCGAGATTTAACCCGATCGTATATTATGCCACCAGCTCTAAACAGCATGATCACTACTTGCTATGAGATTCGGATTCAGATTCAATTTGGGAGGAGTCTGCTTTTCAACACCTTGTTCAATGCTTTGCTGAAGTCGATATGGACAGTGTCCACTACTTTTCCATTATCTAACGCCTCTATCTATTGCTTTCCTTCAGTAACGAAGTTTGTTGTACAGAACAATGCTTTCCTGGAACCATGTTGTCCGCTTTTCAACAACTTGTTGGTTTCTATGAATGTTATTAAGGCTTTTCCGATAATTGTTTCCGGTATTTCAACTACGACGCTGGTGACACTGACGGATCTATAGTTTGGTGGAAGTTGTCTTGATTCTGTCCTGAGAAGTGGAGTGTCAATTGCATCCTTACAGTTTATCGATAAATTACCTTTGCCAAGTGACATATTCGATATCATATTCAGCGATGCAGGAACGTATTGTGTGGTGCGTTTCAAGTGTCAAGGACGTATTTCATCCAGCACTGTTGATTTTTTCGTGTCCACATTGCCAAGGGCCTTTAGTACATCGTCTTGATCAGAGTCATAAATGAGAAGCCAATTTTGTGGATTTGTATCTGGGTCTAGTTCTTAGTCTAGAAGAGGACGCTGGAAGAAAACTATCCCGAAATAGATTTCCATGGCCTCTTTTTTTCTGCCCTTCCTCTATCATTTGAGATATGTAGTGGTAGGAGCCCTAACCCTACAATCCTGAAAGCTTAACATGAAATAACTGGGAAACTTGATATTCAACATCTAACACGGAGAGAATGCTAACAATGAGGGGGGAAGAGTTAATTAACTCAATCGGATGGCATAGCTCAGCTATGCAGGTGTGGTAATCTTTGTGTGACCTATGTCATTCAGATTAAATGCATCGTTCCACCTCCAGCCTAAATGTGTTTTCCAGAAGTAGGTAACATCATATTGATGGTTTTTACGATGGGACGAGTCAGTGTAGTGATGTGGTAGACATGATGCTGTTATCAGCTCTCAGGAAGATTTGACTTCTGGATTTATTCAGCGAATAATGGATTATCTCCTACACACGTTTCTGGTATGGTGTTGTGTAGGTCACATCGACTAACCGGTGACCAACGTTGATTGTCTGAAGTAACTGTCCACCTTATGGTTACGCGTGGGCTGCAGCATTGGACGTTGGTACAACACGTTCAGCTGACATATCGTCGTGATTAGTAGGTGGTGGAAATGCTGCTAGTAAACCACGTCCATCGAGTAACTCACCTCATTCTTATCGGTCTCCGCTCACTAAAGTTCCTTTCCTGATGAAAAAATTGTTTGACGGTGATAAAGAGTTGTGTAGCTATTTCTCGAATGAAGTTATTCCGGGCTCAGGTAATCATCCTAATTCTTTGATGTTACCACTAGGAAGAGGCATCAGTTCGACGTCACAGTGTAACACGTTAGATAGTTCTAAAACTCACTGTTTACCAGTCCATCCACAGTTTGCGAACCGTTCAACAAATGATTTGTACTCACCTCAGTCATATGATCGTGGGGTACCGTTTTCACCATCATCAAGAGTAGGAGATGGATCTAATGTCTTTAATATTGATAACATGTCACCATCATCGTCGATTTATCATACTGATGGAGAAATAACACATGCTATCAGTCCAGTTCACCATTCTCCATTCAAAACACTTCCACATCGATCGCCTATCTCCGGGATTGTTACTAATATATACCATATTGGTCATTTGTTACAAGCGTTACTTAAATATCTTTGAAGTTTGAAATCACTTTTAAAAGAAAACTTAATTCAGTGGATGATTTATGGCCCAGTTACTATTAACGATTCAAATGCCTTATCACTCCATAGTAATAACCCCGAAAATAATATTATATCATAATTACCAATACCCAACCTGACCGGACCTATAACGGCGTCAGAGCCTCCTTTTTAATAAGAGCCCGTGAAGGACAAATAAAATTCTATCGAAAGGACAGTTGCTTTAATAGACAGATGGAATGATCATATTTTTCATTTCACCTTCATAGTTCAGCCACGTCGTATAGATAGTTTTCGTGCACCGGCTTTTACTGACCACAACATTCAAAATTCGGAAACAAATCTTCTCAGCTTGAAGGATAATTTAATCTTGGCTTCAGTGTTATTCTACTGTCATTTTACACCAATTATTAATGTCATACAAGTCAAAAAGTTGTCGTCAGAGGTTACCATACAGTGTTCGAAATATGCCGAGTTTCCCCTTTGAAACCAGTTATTTTAGACAATCTGGTCAACATAGCATATTTTGTTTGTGTGTGGGATCAATGTCTAGTGTCAGTATTGGTTGTAGTATTCATGCTAATTAAAAGCGGTTGACTAGCCTCAATGTGACTATCTAATCGTTATGATCTTACTTTTAAGTCATACCATTGCATTTGTTTTCGTGAAATATTCAACGGCCATTGTGAATTTTCTAAGCTAGTACATTTACGGCCTCGAAGATGATAAATGGACATGGTTCATTGTTAGTCCATCGTCCATACCGGTGTATCAAGATGGCGCTAACCTTAACGTTATCCATGGATCATCAACCTTTAATGGTATGAGCAGCAAAACACTGTCACATCAGGGGCAGTGAAATGATGTTTCTTCAGAGTTTTCCACCTTACAGATGTCGACTTCTAGTGATACAATTTAGCTATCATTGAACTTCCAAGAATAGTAATCACGTACATCGAAACCTAGGTTGTCCACTGACACCCTAAAAATATATCTCTCCGTTGTGTTGAATAGATTCTTTGTCACTTGGCTCAACACTCTGAAAGGGGTCAATATAGCCCACTAAATATAGCGCTTGAATTGGAGCAGAAAGTATAACCACAACTTATTTTACCATTTACTCTTTTGTTTATAAGTATTCCTCAAGAAGTTTATTAGGCAACCAAACACTAGTAAGTATTCTTAAGAGAACACGGAGGTTGTTTAGATTGTAAGAAGGTTAATTGCAAGCTATTCACATCATGAAAGGTAAAGATCAAGTATCTAATGAGTTTCTTTCTAAAGGTTCAGTTCGAGCCTTCGAACCGGTTTCGTGGACCAAACTCAGGTACACTGCATAGTGATAATCGATAGTGCAACAGAAATAGTTCTTAGAACATAGACGAAATTACCATAGAAATCGATTTCGTTCATATGTAAAGGGGGACTTATGTCTGCCATAGGACATCGTCAACTGTAAAATTATCTTGTAAGCAGCATTCGTTCACAGAGACGAAAACAAAATGATGAAAATAGTAGATCCTGGACACAAATTGATTGCCAAAAATATATCCTGCCATCCGAGAACGAATATATCAGTTAGCTTACGGATGGTTGTTATAGTTTCATCCGTCCCCATTTAGAGTACGGAAACATAGTACTCCCTCCCTCACTCCAAAAGGACAAGGTCACTTTGGAGCGTATCCAACGTCGAGCCACGAAATCAGTTCGAGGACTCAAATCTAAACCTTACGAAGAACGCCTCCATCCACTAGACCTTTACCCATTAGAGTATAGGCGTCTTAAAGGTGATTTATTAATGGCTTATAGTATTCTTAACACTTTTGGACATCCTCTTAAACACCTACTTAAGCTTAGTTCGAATAATAACCTAAGGGGTAACACCCAGAAATTGGAAACACAACATAGCAAGACGGAATGTAGACACAACTTCTACTCCTTAAGAGTTGTCAAAATCTGGAATTCGCTACCAGCCGAGCTAGTCCAAGCGACTTCTCAGGAGTTCTTCAAGAGACAACTTGACCTATTCTTAAGGGCCAAGGACAGCATCACACTATGATTTACCAATTTCTTTTCCTCTTTTATTGTTAACATACCTAGGTTCCTGCCTGGAGGATTTGGTTATCCGCTGCTACTAGACACGGAAGCCTGTTAAGCGAAAGCTTCTTCTATTCCGTCCACGACCATTTGAACCATTTGAACCATTTGAAGGTATTGAACGGTGCAATCATTGACCTTGAAGGTTTGTCGCGTAATAGAGGCTGTTTGAAGTTTCTGGGATGTTTAGCGTTCTCGTAAGTTTGCCTTGAGCTTCTCGAACTCATAACCTCGCCGATTCTGTTTACTTTGCGCGACATTTATTGTACATCATGTGAAAAGTAATCAGTTGACATTATTCCTTTTGGATTTGATTTTCCTAGCTGCTTATTAGATCATTGTTACAATGACTTGTAAGTATACTTCCATACTTTCGTATCTGCCAGACAATACTAAATTTGACTGTGGCAATGTATCGGTTGTTATAGAAATAATTAGTTATTAGTAGTACACAAGTCCCGCCGCTAATATCTGTGATAGTTTCATTATATTTACTGGTAAAACTATAACATATTGACGAAATAAAACAGTTTCAAGGGTAAATTTTGTGTCAGCCAGTAGAAAGCTAATCAGACCGACGTCTGTGAAAAATCTCGGAAATTACGAAGTGAGGTCATGGGATTGAGTTGTAACTTAAGTACTGAGCGTATTAAGGCTGGCTCTGTCATTTCAGTTGGGAATCACTGTACTGCGTTTCGAATCCATCTTAACTGCTAGCCTCAGTACTCATAGATTATAGATCCTTACCTAACAAACCTAATCATAAGATACTGCTCTTGAAATTTTGTTCCACTAGGAAATCATCCAATTCTTCTAAATTCGGTATATAATAAAAGCCACGAGTCTTTGCAACGTCTTTAATTTGGGTTGATGTTTAACAGAGGTGAACTTAATTTTGATTAGTCACTCAGATTCATTGTGGAAAGTATGGGGAGCTGGGTAGCCTTTATTAACCCTGATAATAGCGATTTCTCAGTTGATCGAACCTTCTTTTGAAAGCGCCGACAGATGGAGCTCTAATGAATTCCACTCGTCGACAATCCAGTTGGAAAGTCGATAGTCAGCTGACAAGTGATTTACTGTGAGCTTGTGAACTAATTAAAGTATCCTCATAAATTGAACGATGAGAGGATGTCAGATGCAAATTTATCACTAGGCAGTTTAAAAGCTGATCAAGTTACCTATGGTTCTTCCATATGGCAATAGATTTAGGTTGAGTTCGGCTAGTCGAACATCATACAGGAGCTTCGTTACCCCAGAAACAAGCCTAGTTGCAGTTCTTTACTGGTCACTGTCTCATTTTAGGCAGGGGCTAGCTGCTTTTACGCAGTACTCGAGTTTAGGACACACAAATACTGTTACCAAAGTCAAAAAGGGTTTAACATTGACAGCGTACAGTAGTTTTTAAGTTTGGGTTGTCAATGACCTCTAAGTCATTGTGTCGTGGTCTAGTAGGTTAAGCGTTCGCGGGCAAAACTGAAGGCCCTAGGCTCAAATCCCGCGAGCGGGATCGTGGATGCGCACTGCTGAAGAGTCCCACAATAAGACGAAGCGGCCATCCAGTGCTTCCAGGTTTCCAACGGTGGTCTAACATCAACCGGTTCATGATCCCAAACGAAAGACATTAAGTAGAAAAGTCTGTGTATCTGGACAGCAAACAAATTGTCATTCACCGTGTGTATCTGTACCTCTGTGATCACAATATGCACCATAATGCACTTGGAAGCATTTTTCGGCGACTGCCAAATTCAAGATCATTCAGACAATTTGTCCAGGTCATTTTGAAGCTCTAAGCCATCACTTTTACCATTTATCGCTCTCCATATCTTGACATCGTCAGCATGTAACAAAACGGATAATGACAGGAAACCAGGAAAGTCACTTACATAGAGGAGAAACAGCACTGGCCCCAAAATTGTTCCCAGAGACACTTAGCTGAGCAGTTCCCCATCTAGACAATTTTGAGTTCATCCATACACTTTGTTGGCGCCCAACTAGAACGTCCTTTATTCACATTAACAATTTGCCTCGAAGGCCTCCATATTACTTAACTTATATAACAGCCAGTCGTGAGGAACTTTGTCAGAATCTTTGCTGAAGTCAATATAGGTAACTTCTGACAATTAAGCGCACAAAAAGTTTAATGGCTTACCAATAAGTTAGTGAGACAGGAATAACCTGCTCTAAAGCCATTCTGCTTTTCATAAAACAACCCAATTGTCGTCTAGATACTTAAAGAACGTCCAAATAGTATTTTTAAAAGTGTTAACAACCACTCTAGTTAGGTTTTCGGGTTAATGGTTCTCAGGTTTGTGTTTCGTGCATGTTAGGATAGGACTTACTGTGGCATTCTCCTAGTCTTTTGGAAATATACTTTGTGTTGCACATGGACTAAAACATAAGCTTAAGGGATTCGCGACAAAATTTCCTGATTCATTTAGTAACCTAAGATGCATTTCATCATATCCTATGGATCCGCCTATATCATGCTTACTTAGCAGACCAAATACATTAGGTACATTGATGGCCACAGTGTCCAAAGTGTGTGTATCTATGGGGTTTTATGGACTGAAGGGATCATCCCTACGATATATGCATTGCCAAAGTAATTCGAGCATACCTGAGCTTTACTATAATCTTCCTCTACTAATGATGCAGTACTACCACCTCCCCATAATGCTGGAACGTTGCATCTTCTCTTAGCCATTTGGTTCATGTACGAGCATAAGCGTTTAGGGTATTCTATAGATTCCCTAACGTTTTCCTTCATATAATCTCCTAGACTTGTAGAGGGTCGAGGCAAAAATATCTCGAGATTACCGACATTGAGATTCCGTCTCATCGTTGTCCAGTAACCGTCTGCATTGTATAGTTTTACCCACCTACCTACTGTCTAACAGG